TTAGGGTTAGTTTAGGCCTAGTTTAGGGCTAGTTTAGGCCTAGTTTAGGGTTAGTTTAGGGCTAGTTTAGGCCTAGTTTAGGGTTAGTTTAGGCCTAGTTTAGGGCTAGTTTAGGCCTAGTTTAGGGTTAGTTTAGGGCTAGTTTAGGCATAGTTTAGGCCTAGTTTAGGGTTAGTTTAGGGTTAGTTTAGGCCTAGTTTAGGCCTAGTTTAGGGTTAGTTCTGGCCTAGTTTAGGGCTAGTTTAGGCCTAGTTTAGGGTTAGTTTAGGGCTAGTTTAGGCCTAGTTTAGGCCTAGTTTAGGGTTAGTTTAGGGCAAGTCTAGGTCTAGTCTAGGGCTAGTTTAGGGTTAGTTTAGGCCTAGTTTAAGGCTAGTCTAGGGCTAGTCTAGGATGAGGCTAGACGACAGCGAGAATGGGAGCGCTCTGCGCACAGCGCCGCACCTGCAGCAGCAGCTTGGGGAAGGGGCCACGCTGGTTCTCGGGCACGGACACGGGGGGGTTGACCCACGTCCGTCTCCAGCGGCGCTGACGCGCACCACCACGCCCTGCCTGCCGGAACCTCACCACCACCTCCACCACCTTCTCCACCTCCTCCACCTCCGCGCGTCTCTCCCCACGCTCTCTCTGTGCGGGGTGCGGTGAAGGTGACATCGAAACGTCATCGTGAGCGAGGCCACCTCACGTGTGTGTGTACGTGTGTGTGTGTGTACGTGTGTGTGTGTACGTGTGTGTGTACGTGTGTGTGCGTGTGTGTGCGTGTACATGTGTGTGTGTACGTGTGTGTGTGTACGTGTGTGTGTGTACGTGTGTGTGTACGTGTGTGTGCGTGTGTGTGCGTGTACATGTGTGTGTGTACGTTTGTGTGTGTGTACGAGTGTGTGTGTGTACGGGTGTGTGTACGTGCGTGTGTGTGTACGTGCGTGTGTGTACGTGTATGTGTGTGTACGTGTGTGTGTACGTGTGTGTACGAGTGTGTGTGTGTACGTGCGTGTGTGTGTACGTGTGTTTTGTGTACGTGTGTGTGTGTACGTGTGTGTACGTGTGTGTGTGTATGTGCGTGTGTGTGTACAAGTATGTGTGTGTACGTGCGTGTGTGCGTGTGTGTATGAGCGTGTGTGTGTACGTGCGTTGTGTGTACGTGTGTGTGTACGTGTTTTTGTGTACGAGTGTGTGTGTGCGTGTGTGTACGTGTGCCATGCTAATCAGAAGTATGGTGAGTCTATGGGTCTCTGTGAGGTGAGTCTATGGGTCTCTCTGTGGTGAGTCTGTGAGTCTCTGTGTGGTGAGTCTGTGGGTCTCTGTGTGGTGAGTCTGTGGGTCTCTGTGTGGCGAGTCTGTGGGTCTCTGTGTGGTGAGTATATGGGTCTCTGTGTGGTGAGTCTGTGGGTCTCTGTGTGGTGAGTCTGTGGGTCTCTGTGTGGTGAGTCTATGGGTCTCTGTGTGGTGAGTCTGTGGGTCTCTGTGTGGTGAGTCTGTGGGTCTCTGTGTGGTGAGTCTATGGGTCTCTGTGTGGTGAGTCTGTGGGTCTCTGTGTGGTGAGTCTGTGAGTATCTGTGTGACGAGTCTGTGGGTCTCTGTGTGGTGAGTCTATGGGTCTCTGTGTGATGAGTCTGTGGGTCTCTGTGTGATGAGTCTGTGGGTCTCTGTGTGGTGAGTCTGTGGGTCTCTGTGTGATGGTCTGTGGGTCTCTGTGTGGTGAGTCTATGGGTCTCTGTGTGAGGAGTCTGTGGGTCTCTGTGTGGTGAGTCTGTGGGTCTCTGTGTGATGAGTCTGTGGGTCTCTGTGTGATGAGTCTATGGGTCTCTGTGTGGTGAGTCTGTGGGTCTCTGTGTGGTGAGTCTGTGGGTCTCTGTGTGGTGAGTCTGTGGGTCTCTGTGTGATGAGTCTATGGGTCTCTGTGTGATGAGTCTGTGGGTCTCTGTGAGGTGAGTCTGTGGGTCTCTGTGTGGTTGAGGGGGGGGGTGGTTGAGGGGGGGGCGGGGTGTGAATGAGGGGGGGGCGGGGGGTGGTGAGGGGGGGGGGCAGGGGGGGGGTAGGGGGGGGGCGGGGGGTGTTGAGGGTGGGGGGGGGGGCAGGGGGGGGGGGGGGGGGGGGGGGGGGGGGGGGGTGGTGGTTGAGGGGGGGGGGCAGGGGGGTGGTTGAGGGGGGGGGCGGGGGG